TCATCTTTTTCCCGTTCTGGAATTCTACCGGCTGCTGCTACAACAGTACAAAATACTTGGCAGAAGTGACTTTTCAAAAATACTCCAATATGGGTATCAATCTTCATCAAATCATATCCTAACCTCATTCATGATGTTTATATCGTTAGATTAGCTCTCTAACTATAATTTTCTCACTTGAAGCTATTCTACTGACTGTTACTGCGTCAGCAGTCAAAATTAACAGATGAAAATTCACATGTGTAAAATACCCTCAATATATGTATCAAAATTCTTAGAATTTCAATCTCATTTCATTTATGACCATAAGGTCCTCATCATAACCCTCTAATTTAAAAGTCATATAATTAGGGTTATTATAAATCATGTATTCACCAAGTGGAAACCAAAACAGAAACAAATGAAATAATAAAAAACTACAACAAAAATAACTGATAAAAAATCAAAAACACGAACGAGTTTTTTAGAGGGAAAATGAATACCACGAATGAGTTCAAGGAGAATCGTCTTCAACGCAAATGACCCAAGTACTGGTGGTTGGGGGAGGACTGGAGTCTGGAGGTGCCGGTGGACCAGTGGCTGAATCAGTGAATCTCGTGGATGAATCGCGTGACGGTGGTAGAGGATGGAGACTGCTCTGCCGTTTAGAATTAGGGCAAATGATTTTTGCATTTAAATTTTCACAATTTTACTTTTTTACTTTTACATTCATTTGTTAAAAAAATTAAAATTTCAAAATTAGAAATAGCAACCCGCCGGGCCAACTAGGCCCGACCTGTTATCAACCCGTTTTAACCCATTTGTAAACGGGGCGGGTTATATTGGGTTAGTGGGTTAAGACTCATAACCCAACCCGCCAACTTGAGCTGGTTAAATGGGCTGAACTGACAAGCTAGGCCCATATTGCCAGCCTCAGAAGCACGGACACGCTTCTTAAAATAAAAATTGGGTGTCGGACACGCGTTCGATACGTGGTCAACTTTTTCGGACACGTGGTCAACGCTCAGACACGTTTTTTTTTTAGTCTTAATTTTATTTTATTAACTAAAAATAAAAAAATTATTTATAAATCAATTTTTTTCTGTTATGAAATTTGACATGAAAAATTAACAAAGTACGAAATATTATTTTTGTTTATATTTATGTTATGAAATTTGAATATTTGATTGGTTATATGACTTGTTATGGACTGTTATATCTATTAAATATAAATTATATTATATATATTAAAAATATTATTTAATATCAAAACGTGTCCCAACGTGTCGAAATATGCCATTTTTTAGAATTAACGTGTCGGCGTGTCGTGTCGTGTCCCGTGTCAGTGTCCGTGCATCATAGTTGCCAGCCCTACCTGGCGGGGTCGACCCCAAGGTGGAGCGAGGTTTTAAAACACTGGTTCATTAATTTTAATTGTAAAAACTAGAATCACGAATGTATCTAATACTTGTTAATTAATTAATTATTAGTATAAACTAAAATGGGATCATAAAACATACACAGCAGTACAATTATTTCATCATCTACTCTATTATTTGCAACATTTAACATAAGCAATAGATCAACAATACAACAATTTTATGTGTAATTTAAAGTTTAAAGCAGCATATGACAAGAATCTAGGAAAATAACCAACTTAACAAAAAAATGTTTGTATTTTCGAACAATATGTTGGAGTCTTATAATTTCTATTCATCTTGTTTTCCTTTCTAAATTCAATTTGGTTGAAGTACACTATATTTGACCTTAATGACATATAATCCCTCTTTTAAGAAATTTATATTGCAAGTTCCTAAACAAAAACATAGGTTTAACAACAATTTCATGTGTAATTTAAAGATTAAAGCAACATATGACAAGAATCAAGGAAAATTAACCAACTTAACAAAAAAATGTTTCTATTTCCGAACAATATGTGGGAATCTCATAATTTCTATTCATCTTGTTTTCCTTTCTACATTCAATTTTGTTGAAGTACACTATATTTGACCTTAATGGTATAGAATCCCTCTTTTAAGAAATTTATATCGCAAGTTCCTAAACTAAAACATAGGTTTAACATGATAGTTATATTCAATCTTGATAATTGTAAGAACCCGCACCGTTAATTAAGGAATTTAATTAATAAATTACGAGAAAATAGGAAATGATTCCATAATTGACCCTTAAAATTATTATGAAGCTTTAATAATCATAGTAAGTGAGTAATAATGCTGAAAGTCGTTTTTCGGAAGAAAAGTGCAGATACCGGTTCTGCTAGTCGGTATAAATGCGTACCGAAAAAGTATCCCGAAAAATTATAATAAGTGTATGAAAATTACTAGAATGATATGTAGGACTTGTAAAACGAGTTTCAAGTCCAGATAATGAGAACTGGTGCTAGAAACCGGTACTGGCTTGGAAAAGCGCGTACCGGAAAGGTACTCAGAAAATTACAAAAAAAATATGATAATTCTTAGAAAAATGTCTAGTTTCAGAATCCAAAGTTTGGGATTAAAATGCTAAGCGTAGCAATTAAAGTTAATACTGTGTGTTTAAGTGTGTTTGGGCTATAAATACCCTTTTAAGGGCACATAACCCTAGAAAACTGTCTCTATGCGTGAGTGTCTTGTGGTGGCTGATCAGTTTTACTCTGTGTTGGTGCTCTCTTCCCTTGTGTGAGCCTTGTGACCTTCTACCTCCATGTTACCTCTTCCTAAACACTTGGGCTTGAGGGTGTGAGTCTTGTGAGCAGAAAAGAGTCATCTTTCTGAGTTTATGAGTTGTTGTTTGTGAGGTTCTTGCTCTGAGTTGGAGAGTTTGGAGGGGAGTCATCTTGTTCTTGGTGGTTTAGAGCTCCAAGTAGCTTCCTTGGTGAGGAAAAGACTCATCTTGTTGGTCCATTTCGTGCACCTTGTTGAGTCAGTCTTGAGGGCCTGATTGTGAGCTCCAAAGAGCAACCTCTTCTTCTGTTTTGAGCTGGGGTATGTGTACCAACCTTTGATCATGAGTTTAATGCTTAAAAATGAAAGCTTGATGCATGTTAAGGCTTAAAGTTGATAACTTCTTGTTGGGTAATGTTGAACACACCTAGAAATGCATGTTTAGGTGCTTAAAATCGTTAAAAACCCAACCTTGGAAGGATATCTTCACGAAATGCATTTTCTGCATTCTGTCGTGAAATATCCGAATATGTGCCCGATGAATATCCGGATATGTGATATCCGGATATGGGTTTTGAGTATCCGGATAATAGATATCCGGATATGGGATTCTGGATATCCGGATATTGCATATCCGGATATGTCCAGTGAGATATTCGGATATTGCATATCCGGATATGGTCCCGAGGAATATCCGGATATTCTGGGATTTCGCAGAACAGTAGCTGTGCTGTGTGTACAGTAGGCTATTGGGGGTTTGTGGACCCTAGATTGATGAAGCTGAACTTCTGTAATTAATGATTTAAGTCAGAATCGTTGTGATTAAGGACTTATGGCTTGGTATGGAGCCTTAAGACGTAAAACGTAAGGAAAGGCGTTGTCGTTAAGTTATATGCATGTGGTACATGTTTATTAATATAATGTTGGTCCATAACAGATTGTGAATCTGCTGTGTTTGGACGTTGAGCTGTGGACTCTTGGTTATTGGATAGCTAGCTTGCGAGGTAAGCTTTCGTGTCCTCGGTTTAGCCATGTTGTGGTTTCACCATATCCCATGGGGGTATGGTTTATGCATGCTATGTACATGCTTTTGGATATTTGATATGTTGATTGAACTTTACATGTAATGGCTTTTAATATGCATGTGTTGTTTCATCTTGACGGGAAGCCTGAGTATGTAGCGCCATACAAGACGGTGTACCGGGGTGAATGCAAGTGGTACTTGCACGGTGTGTAGGTGATAGACGTATACCTACACTGTCTCTGGCCAGTAGATTAGTATTGACACACATGGCATGATTATCTGCTGCATTGCATTGTTTTAAAAATGATAAATGATAAACTGCTTTTGAACTTATATTGCACATGTAAGTGAGCTTGAGGTGGAAGATCCTTGAGGACTCACTGACTTACTGAGATTTCTAGATTAGAGATCTTACCCCACGTTTGGGGAATGCTTATTTCAGGATCAGGTAGTATAGGTACTGATGCCTCAGGCGGCAGGAGGCCGGAGCTTAGCTGATTATGTTGTTTCTGCTTATTTGTTAGCATGACTGGATATTGATGCTGATTATGTCTTATGCCTTTTATAATTATGTTGTTGTTGTTGATACTGATGTTGGGCATGTTGCCTTATTTGAGTAAGCATGGGGATTGTCCATAACACTCTCTGTTAGTACTTTTTAGATTGGAGTTGTATAAACTGTTAGATGGTCCGATCTACATTGTTGTAGTTCCGTGACTAGAGCCACACTTATATTATCTATGTTATGAGGTATTTCAGTTAGCTGTTTTATTACAATTACATACAGGCGATGTTTTATTAATTGATTATTAAGCAAGTTGGTAATGTTAATGGCATCATAATTGAAAAGAAAAAGTAATTCTGCATTTTATTAAGCGCAGCTTAATACGATATTATGATTACATTACCGGATACATACGGGATGTTACAATAATCCACCAATCAACCATAACCAAATTCATATTTAATTAGCTAGCAAAGGCTTCTACATTTTTAAATAAAATCTTTATATATAACCAAAACAGAAATATAGATAACAATCTTTAGATACTTGGGCACCAGATATCATCCATACAATTCAATTTCCAAAAGAGAGTTATGTGGCTTGAACAAAGAACAAATCAAATAAGATACTTACACAAATAGCTCTAGCTTCATCATTTATGTAAGTTCCATCACTCTTCTTATAAGTATGGATGTATAAACTACCCCTACTCACTCGTTGTCCAGTTTTATTCATCTATTGCGTTGAAAATGTTTTGAAATGTCAACAACACAAAATAGTGTAAAACAAGTGGAATGACAATTGTTATAACATGATTTTAAATACTTACTATCCATACACTCCTTTCTCGAGGCTTTTTGAATTGCCAGGGTGGTGTATTGTAAGGTTGGTTCTATTTTGAGCATCTTTTTTATATATCTCCTACAAAATAAAACATGAAAACTTATTTAACATTAGTATTAAGATTTAAAAAGTATCTAAATATGAAATGTTATTATACCTGAGTCATGTTGTCTAATCTGTAATCAATATATCAAGCCCATTCAGTTTCCTTGATTGCCAATAGAGGATTCTTGATACTTTCTTCAGGACTTTTGCTCCAATCATTGTTTTGTCCAAATAATCTTAGTCTACTTTTTTTTTTACTTCTTCCCGATGACCTTCATTATGTATGAATGTGCAGTATCTTCATGAATAGAGCCCCACCATAATTTTTTCTTTATATACAGTGGTGCATTACTGAAAACATTACATCATGTTAAAAATTATGTAAGATATATACTTAAAAATGAAAAGTTCATTTTACACCTTTATTCAATTACTGCTACAAGTAAAGCATCAGAAGCTACATCTATGATTCTTGATAATGAAGGCAGGTTCAAACTCATCATGACAAAAGCTAATGTGCCTAGATAAAGCCTTTTTTTTTTTAATGTATTCTTGAAAAGAACATTCCTGCAATATGTAAGCTTTAGTTCAGATCTTTTAATGAACTTATAATTTCATAGAAGATTTTTAGTCTTATTTTATATATATATATATATATATATACTTGTTTCTATCATGTGTAATCATCCATTCTGGAAGATTTAATCATGGTAATCAAAGAGCTTTAGTAGCAGGATCACTTTATTTCCTTGAGGAACCAACTTGTTCTAACAATCTCAAATATTTAAGGCAAGAAGTGTATCCCTCAACAGACAAAGAAACTCCAAATGCAAAGGTGCGCGGTACAAAGAGATCAAGGCATAGCAAGAACAAACAGGTGTATCTAAGACTTATCTATTCATAAAACTCTAAATAAATTACAAGGCCTATGCATTCTAAACATGACGATGGATCTTAAAATAGATAAATATGAAAATAAGCCCGAGGGATTTTCACAGTAGTTCTTGTGTTTAAGTGTTTAACAATTATTAACTAACCACACAATGTTAGGTTCTTGCAGCAAAAAAAATAAAAATAAAAGAGAAAATAAAAGTTAATGACCACAAAATGCTAAGCTCATCGATGAGCACACAAAAGGTTAAAAGAAAAGAGAACACAATAATTACAAATTGAGGTTCGTGTAGCTTAGCCCATTCACAACAATAACTGCTACAGTTAGATTGCTGAGGAAAGACCTTTCAGTATTTGGACTACTAAGCTTTTGAAGTTTACAAAAGCCTTAATTGTGTTAGGGGAGAATAGTACTGTTACTTTTTTTCTCTCTTCCCTTTTCTTTTCTTTCGTTGAACACTATATCAATTATATACGGGATTAACCTTTGGTTTTAATAAGGTAGTTACTAATTCAATGTCAGTGTATTTTAGTTTCTTTTTTTGCATTCATATGCTTGTCCAAAAGTTATATTAAGGTGGATGAATGAACCTCTCCTAACACCTCATTAGGTGCTAATGCTCTTTGATTTCCATGATTAAGTCCTCCAAAGTGGATGACTGGACATCATAGAAACAAGTGTGGGTGTGTGTATGTGTATTAAGTGAGACTACAATTTTTGGAGAAAATTATAACTTCATTGAAAGCTCTGAACTAAAGCTTACAGATTACATGAATGTTCTTTTCAAAATTACATTTAGAAAATAAAGGGCATCATCTCCATGCATATTAGCTTTTGTCATAACAAGTTTGAACATGCCTTCATGATCGCGAATCATGGATGTAGCTTTTGATGCGTTAATTGTAGCAGTAACTGAAAAAATGTATAAAATGACAGTTTAATTTTTAAGTATATATCTTAGATAAATTTTAACATAATGTAATGATTTAACTAATGCATCACTATAATGTAATGTTCTAACTAAATGACAGACAAAAAGAAGTAGAGTCAAAGTTGCAAGATGGACAAGCTAGCCTGGTATAAGTGTTCCATCCAGATAGCATTGCAAGACAGGAAAGTCTCTAATAGGTTATTCTGCAAAATCAACAAAAGATTGCAAATATCAATAATATATCAATTTTAGTGTGAATAAAATCCATTTTGTAAATGCTTACATGTAGGAAATCACAAATTCGATTGTCAACACAATCCATATAAGAGAATCGAACAACAAAGGTATATTCAATCAAATCTTAAAAGAACAAGAGATTAGAAAATGTTAAAATCTAATAACATAAAAACCCTAAAATATGGGGGGGGGGGGGAATAAGATGACATAGAAGGTGAGAAAATCTAGAGAAAGAACCCTAAAATGGAATCTAACAACCACATACCTAAAATTTGATAAGTGATGAGATTATAGTTTTCTTTAGAAAAAGAATAAAGAAATATATGAGAAATTAGACAGAGAAAGAGACAAAGAGAAAAATTAGGCATACCTAAGTTCCATCGATAGTTCAAAGGCAACGGTGGCAGAGGAAAGATGGAAAAGTGAACGGATGGTGAAGGGAAATAGAGAACTGTTTTCGTTTAAAAGAGAATAAAATGGTGCGGTCGAAGAGGTAAAGTGGTATGAGAGAAATGAGAATGAAGTGAGGTATATAAGCGTTACGGAAGAAAGAAAACATGAGAGAAAGAAAGAGAAAATAATGACATGAGCACTTTTTTGACCATTAAAAAAGGGATAGGTTATTATTTTTTTATTTTTTAAGATATTTTGGATAAGTTATTTTATCTGTTATTTTTTATATATTTTTTACTATCATTTTTCAATATTATTATATTAAAATCTCAATAAAAGAGAAAAATAATGGAAGCAATTGACATTCTAATTTAATGATATTAAAGAATAATAAATAAAGATAGGCAAATAAAAAAATTAGAACAAACTATTCCATTAAAAAATGTGCACATGGTTAGTTTAACTAAACCAAAGGTTGGTTTCACTCAACCTATACTAGTAAACTGATGTGAAAAATTGATTTTCTTGTCGTGATTTGACTTTTGAGTTTACAAGCCTAACAAGTTCGACTTGAATACTTAATAAACAAATATTTTAAGAAAATATACAGTGAATATTGCAAAGTAAAAAAATTAAGTGTTATTTGAAAATTATTATTATATTTCTACTAAAAATGATAAATATAAAAGTGATAATACGATGCTAACTTAAATATGTAATAAAAAGTATTTTAGGAAACTGTCAAAAAGAATAAATTAGAAAGGATTGACAAATGACTAAAGAAATCAACTATCGTCGCTTTTAAAAATATTAAAGTATTGCTTTAAATTTTATTTTCAAAATATTTATTTTTAATAAAATAGAAAGTTCTGAATATTAGAGGCCGAACCTTAAAATAAGGTTGCTTGCAAAAATGCAAAAGTAATACAGGTATATGTAACCCAACCATTACTCTCACTCAATGTTATAAAAACTTGCATAGATCCGACCGGGTCGACCCAGACTTAGATGGATAGTTCATGTACTCGGTTTGATTTTTATATTGGATTGGCTATGTTACAAAATCAGTGTGATCCGGTGCGACCTGGACGGTTTTTGTAAAACCGATGACCCGGTCAGTTCAATCAGAGACCCGGCCCGGTCTATAAAAAAAAACTAATTTATTTTCATAAATTAATGTCTTCTTTTTTTTTACTCTCAAACACAAATGATTTGTTTTCTTTTGAAATATTTGAGTGATTTGTAACTTATTAACTTACATAGATTATGTACCTACAACACTAATATTATCTTGATTATGCAATGTACAGAGAATTTTTATTTGATTTATAGTTGGAGATGTCGTTACTGAACCTGAAACACTAGTATCACAAATATTATATGTTTGATTGATCTTTTGTTGACAATGATGTGTAATTTATTATTTTCGTATTAAAATATTTGAAATTGGTATATTTTTTCAAGTATTTAAGTATATTTATAGTTTTTTAAATATAAATTGTATATTTACATATACTTACCGGGTCATGCGGTTGAACCAGTGACCTACTAGTTGAACCAGTGACCCAGTGATCCAGTACCTCGATCAGGTCAATAACCGGACCGGGTTTAATAACATTGTTCTCACTAGTCAGAAGTTGTATATACTAAATCATGATTTTTGGTCTAGTGACGAAGGGTTTGAGTAGATTGTATTAAATTATGTGTTAATCTTTACTTGTATATATAAAAAAAGTTGTATATAACTATATACTTAAAAAAATTTGTTAAAAGTTTTAACATTTATTCTATGGGTTTATCATCTATCCTTTAACATGACCACAAAAATTTTCCTACACACACACAACATTTTGTGGGGCCCGCAGCAAAAAAAAAAAAAAAAAACTTCGGCACGCAAAACGAATCTCTATAACATAACACAATCATTTTTCCTACAACATAACTCTTATAAAACCCTTATTCTATATAATAAGCATATATCTTTATATATTAAATTAAAATGGCTATTGAAAGTAATTTAATTTCTCACTTTTTATCAAATAAAAATATATATTATTGTTGGTTTTTAAATTTTAAAAAATTAATAAATTTAAATTAATTATACATATTTATTCATAATTTTTTTTTTTGTGTTTTCTCAAAGTATCCTCGAGCCGAGATCATCAAAGTGAATTTTGGCTCTGCCAATAAAGTCTTTTCTATACACAAGATAATTATATAAATTAATTATATAGATTAATTATATCCTTATGATATACAAAATAATTATTAATAAAGACCGACGAATTACTAATAATAATAAATGAGCCGTGAATGGCGCAGATTACTACCCAAGAGTGAGCGTTAAAGATTCAAGATTTAAATCAAATATAAACAACTTTCTATTTTGAAGAAGGATTTGAATCTAATTAATAAATAATAACCCGATATCATTGAGATATGTACAAAATATATAACTAAGAACTATAAAACTAATGAAACGGTGTTTTCTTTTATTTTATTTTTTATGAGTAGAAAAGACACAAACACAAACATAGTTATAAATTTACGTATAGCTTAGACTTATCAGTCTTTCGCGCCACACAGGTTTCTCTTCCTTCCCTTTCTTCTTCTCTCTGTTTCTTTCCCTTTTTTCTCTCTTTCTATCTGTTTCGTTAACTTCAATTTCCGCACTCTTTCAGTTCTGGTAAATTTGAACCCTTTCTTCACCTTTTCAATTGCCATTTGCTTCAAAAAAAAAAAAAATTCGTTTTACCGTATTATTATTATCATTATAAATTTTTTTTATCCTTCAGCAATTCAATCATTTATATTGGTCTTATCTACCCATCTTCTGTATATTTGTGCTTTTTTTTTTGGAGAATTTCTGACAATGTAATACTCATTCTGTGTACCTTTTTCTTTTTCTTTTATTATTTTGAAAAAAAAAAAAATTCAATTGGGGTAGGCTTATAATTTACATGAAATTTATTTATTTATTTTGATGGGGGATTCAGTATAACTGAAAAGAACTTTATGTCTATCAAGACTAAATTGAAAGGGGAAAAAAAATTGGAGGCAAGGAAGAGATGAAGATTTGTAATTTTGTATTAATTAAAAAAAAAAACTACTTCCAGTTAAACCCCGACTAGCGAGGGTGGAGTGAGTGTAATCCTTATACGTAGTCTTACCTTTGTATAATTGCAAAAAAATTATTTCTCGAATTCGAACCAGTGACATTTCAATTACAAAGGAACAGCTTTACCACGGTTTTGGTTTTGTAATTTTGTATTAATTGAATGTAAATAATTCACTTTAATTTGTTTGGCTATATCTATTTAATCTCATTGTTTCTTCAAAGTTTGAATTTATCGAACTTGATCAACCATTATCTAGTAATGCTAATGTGGGTGAGTTTGGTGAAGTAATTGATGAACTTTTAATGTAACTTTCGTGTTAGTCTATACTTTGACAATTATCCTTCTGTTAGAAATCGCAGGGAAAAGTAAAGGACTAAGTCACATGTTTAAATGAAGCTGTCCTCGTTCTTTACTGCATGCTCATTCTCTTGTTATTTGATTTTGAAGCAGTTATTCATTTAGGAAGCTGCTGAACTCACAAGTTTCTTGAGCTTGATGGGGACAGAAGAATCCAATACGTTTAAAAGAGTGTACAAATTTATGGTGCCTCAAGATGTTAGTCACTATTTTATGGCGATCTTAACTTATTTTCTCTGACTGCAATCTGCTTATAGCTGATATTCTCTAGTTTATTTCAATTTTGTCTTTTTCTTTTCTAACAGGAAACTATAAACAAACCTTTGGCACCACATTGGACTACTTCTATGCAGGTATAAAAGGTTTTTGGTTAGAACCAGTTTGTGTTGGTACCTTGGTCATGTATACTTGTGTTTCTCATAAATACAGAAAAAAACTAACTCTGTATTTCTTTTTTAAATAGGGATACTACAATCCCGGGTCTACTTCAACCCCCTTTTTAAATCCACATGCAGCTGGTTCTTACTTGTGTCACTACATGTGGCCAAATCAGGTAGTGATATACATATCATTGTATCTTATAGCAGGTTGCTTTTTTTGACTATGATATAGGGACAAATCACGTGCTTCATTTCACATTTCTTTGTTGTTTGGTCTAGGCAAACGGCACACTACTTCAATGTGATGATGCTCTGCATGACCCCAGGGGGCTATCCAATAAACCTACCATAGCTGGGGTAATCCTAAATCTTTCCATAAATTTAATCATAGTTCTTTCTTTAACCATAATTTCTATGCAATGCAAGTTTCCAGTTGGTTTAGATTTAATAGAATGTTAATATTCTTTTTGGGATGAGGTTAGTAATTACTAATGGATTCAATCTACGTTTCTTCCTCATAGTGCAACTTCCATGATGAATAAGTATATGAGTTTGTATATTCATTAATACATATGATACAAGTGTTTTTTGCATTTTGTTCAGGATGCTGCATTGGCTTTTTCAGAAATAGTACATAGAACTTTTGGTGAGAAAAACCAGGTATCGATAGAAAGACGTGCTAGAAACTTGCAACCTAAAAGTTTAATAACTAAGGAATCAAAAGAAAATGGAAACAGATTTTCAATACCAGAAAATGACGAGGATGAAGTTTCATGGAGGTACATTTTGTTCTTCTGGTGAACATCTTGATCACATTTTTCTAAACCTAATAAAAGATTATTTGTGCACAGTGCTGCAAGTGGAAGTAAGGGATCACCAGATGATGGCCATGGGTATAACAATGTAAGTTGGTCTAGTAAATTTTTATTTTAAGGCATTAAGATATACTAGTTATTCTTCTCTATAGTTCAGGATGTTAGAAATTATGCTTAGAATCTTAGTCTAGAAAGTCTAATGATATCCTTTCTGTTGCAGGATTTTCCTTCAAATAAGCAGCAGCGTAATATGATGCTTGGAAATGGTATATTTTAAAGTCATTGATTTATCTTTTGATTATCTGAATGATGAAAATTCATCTTTTATGATCTGAGATCTGAGAAAGGTGCACAGCTGGGAGACTAGTAACACAGTTCATGTAACTAACAATCTTCCATCTGATCACTTTGCAGCAAATTCAACTGAACCAAATGAGAATGTGGGGGCAGGCCTCAACATATTTGGCA